AAAAAAATTTTGATTTAATCCTTACTATTTATTATTTTTACCCTAATTTAGTTGTTTCGTTAATTTTTCATGTTAATTAACAAATGAAGACAAAAAAAGTATTATGTATCACACAAAATTAACAAATTGACAAAAATAAATGACATGACCATTTCAACTCATTCACCAAAAATTTTTTTTTTTCGTTCCTCCCTTTCTTTTTCTCTTTCTTCAACTTCCGTAAATCTTAACATCTCAACCAATCTCTTACATCTCAACCAATATATTCATTTCAACCAATTTCTACTTTTATTGGATTTATCATTATAATCAAACAACAAAATTTTAAAAAAAAAAGAATTTTTTTAAAATATTTGCCCATGAATTTTCTCGAACCTAGGCATGTTAGGTTCCTTTGAACCCAACACTTGAGTTCAATCAAACCCAATAAACTCCCTTTTTTTCTCCTTCCTCTTTCTTGCCTTGCCTTCTTTACCAATCAATTTTTTATCATCATCAAACAACAAAACCTAAAAGTGCATAAAAAAAAAACAATAAAACCTAAAAGAAAAATCAATTTTTTTTTTTTATTTTTGCCCCTAGGTTCCCAGGATTTGGGTTCGAAGGTTCCAATGGAAAAGAGAAGGGGAAGGGAAAAGAGAAAGGGGAAGAGAAGAAAAAAGAAAAAAAAATTTAAGTTTTTTTTCATATTAATTTTTTTATATGTCATCACTTCGTTGTCCTATTGTCTTTTATGTGTATTAATATTTGATATGTCATTTTGTAAATGTGAAATAACATGTCACGTCATAAGATTTTTAATGGAAAGATCAAATCATGGTAAAAATAATAAATAATAAGGATTAAATTAGAGATGTTTTAAATTTAAGATCAAATCAAATGTCTATATAATAATTCATGGGTCAAAATAAAATTTTAATTTTCTTTTAAAATAAAATTTGAAATTTAAATTTTATGAATTAAAAAATAAATATTAAAATTTTTTTATAAAATTTGATACTATTTAATTTTAAACTCAAAATAATTATTAAATATAAAATAATTAATAAAACATATTTTTTTAGTTTTACTTTGGTGAAAACCTTATTTTGGTCCCTAAACTATTATACGGACCCTCAATTTGATCCCTAAACTAAAAAAATTTCTAATTTGGTCCCTACTGTTTACCATTTTGACCTTGATTTAGTTCTTCCGTTAAAATTCTACTTACGTGTCCAGTTAGTTTACTGTAACATGATGACATGGTAATATATTAATACACGTAGAAGACAACTTGGTAAAAAATAGTGACATGGAAAAAAATATTAATATGACAAAAAAAAAAATTTAATTCCTTCTCTTTTCTTTTTTCTTCTTTTTTTTTTCCTTTTTCTTTCCCTTGGGGTCCTAGGGTTCCTTGGAACCAGGCGTGGGTTCGACGGAACCCAGGCTTGGGATCCTTGGAACTCGCCGCTTGGTTCCAGCGAACCCACGCCTGGGTTGGGTTCTATCAAACCCACGCCTAGATTTTTTCAAACCCAGCTAGTTTGTTACTGGGTTCTTTGGAACCCAACCTCAAGTTTGACGGAACCTAGGGGTAAAAAATATATATATTTTTTCTGTGGATTTGGTTATTTGATGATGATGAAGAAAGCAAAGCAAGGAAGAGGAAGGAAAAAAAAAGGGCACTATTGGGTTCGATTCAACCCAAGCGCTGGGTTTGTTTGTTGGAGGAAGAAAATGATGGCAAATTCGTAATTTTGGTGGGCTTCACTTTTGTTGGGTTGGGCAAGAACATGACATGTCACGTTGTCATGTCATTATTTATTCATTTATACAATTGACGTGTCTCAAATGTTTGACATGTCATTAAATTGTCATGAGATAACGGTGAGATTTTAACAGAAGGACCAAATCAGCGTCAAAATGGTAAACAGTAGAAACCAAATTAAAAATTTTTTTAGTTAAATCAATAATCCATATAATAATTTAAGGACCAAAATAAAATTTTAACCTTTTACTTTTTAGTCAATTTTATCTCTCTCCCTTCCAATCATATACAGCTGCTATTTTTGTTTTTTTATGGGTTAGTAATACTTTTTTTAAGTCGTCTTTTTCTGCTTCTGCTTTCCACCCTACTTTTCTATATGTCGGTAATACTTTTTCTTGAATCATTTTTTTCTGCTTTTGCTTTTTA